CTGTACTCTCTTCTAACCAAAGAAAATGTGGATGCTCTAAGCTTCACGAGCCATTGCAAGTTCTGTAAGCACTGTAGGCTCTGCTGCTGGGAAGACAATAAAACTGCATGCGCTTCCTCTTTCCCTAATACAAAACAAAACAAAATTAAGTCCAGATGGGGCGAAGAATCAGATGTGGAAAGGGAAAACCAAGAATGCTCAGATGCACAGGTCACTGTTTACAGGGTGCAGTATTTTACCCTTATCCAGACTCACTTGAAAGTTTGATTGAATATAAAATTTAGGGTAAAAAGAGCTTGCAGCTTCCCTCAGAGAGCTGAAGGCATCGCTTCTCGGCTTTCCAGTATTATGTTAGTGAAAAGGAAAATTCTCTCTGTCAGAGTCTCATTTCTTTCAGCATAACATTTGCTTTGGGGACACTATAGCATCTTCTTTTTCCTTAATCTTTTGAAATTTCACACTATTTTGTATAGATGTGGGTATTTTTAATAAAAATTGCCTGAGTTGGGCACTAGACTGGTTGTTTTCACTGAGCACAACTTTAGAAATTTTTCTTTTTAAAAATTTAAAAAGTATTTCTCCTATTAATTTTCTTTTCCTGAAACCCCCTTCGCAACCCCATTCATTTTCTGCCTTTTAGCTTCTCTATTTTCCGTTTCCCTAAATGCCTGGCTACTAGTTCTGGGCATGAGTAGGCAGATGTGTCTGTGTATGTGTTGTGGTCCTGGTCTGAGTTTGTATCTTGCTTGTGTGTGTGCAAATGTGTATACTGCATGTGTGCCTGTGTGTACGCCCATGTGACTGCATGCCCCAGGCATATGTTTGCATGTGCCCTTCTCTGGTGACCACGCAGGCTGCGCCTTTCACTCACGCTCCCTGAACCTCACACTTCCGGGCTCAGTCCCTGGCCGAGTTCCGGCAGGGAGGCCGGCTCTGCCCTCAGCCCCACCCTGCTCTGCTACCCCAGCGGCTGCAGCTTCCTACTCCTGGGAATGGACACTTGCTCATGAGGACAATGTTCAGAAACAGACGCATCCTTATGGACATCCAAGGTAGAGTAAGGGTGAAAATTTGAGCACAACTTCAGAAATTTCCCATTTAGACATTTCCCAGGAGCGAGGAAGAACTGGCTAGGTCAGTGAGCACTGCTGCCGGCCACTGTAGGCAATAAAACTGTACCTCTTCCTCTTTCTCTAACACAGAACAACCAAATTAATTCCAGATGGGGTGAAGAATTGGATGTGAAAAGGGAAAGAATGCTCAGATAAACAGGTCACTGTTTACAAGTGCAGTCTTCAGATGAAGGCGGTTCACAAAACAGCACAAAATCCAGAAAGCTTGGGAGCGAAGCACGTGGGTAACTTGAGAGTCTGAGCGGGAGTGGCTTGTGGTCAGCGTGTCCTCTGTGTCCTGTGAGAACTGGCCTTTCCCATCTGTGCTGCTCCTGCCACCTGTCCAGTGCTGCTGACCTGCTGCTGACCAATCTTTTGCCTTTCAAACTGTCCTGGAAGTGTGACTGTGGGGGACAGTGCCTGGGGAATGAACGTGGTAGAGGTCCCTGAGAGGCACCATTAGGAACCTTTCTGTGTCTCGGGACCCTGGAGATGGCCTCTTCCAGGCTTGGTCGCTCTGTTTCACTTCCAGTTGTTAAGGGACCATGTGTCCTCCTAGATCCGATGTCTGTAAGTCAGCTGCAGCCCGAGCCTGTTATTTGCATTGCAAAAACTCTGATGGGCAGTCTCCTCAGTGGGGAAGCATCTTGTGCACTGCCTGAAAAAGTCTAAACAAACTGGAAGAAAAACGACAAAATTGGCAAATATTTGCACTGCAAATAAAGCATAAATTAGAGAAAAATAAACCAAGAATTTCAGTGGCCAGTTCACAAAAGAAAAATATCTCCAATAAACATATAGAAAGATGTTTAATTTTTCTAATGAGAAAAGCTGTGCAAACTTTAAAGAAACAGATGCTCCATACCTCTCAATTTGCCACACTGATACAGTAAACCATAAGCTGTAGTTGCAGAGGCCCTGCTCTTAATGCTTGGTGATTCTCCTCAGGTGAAAAGTCTCCCAGCCTTTCTGGTTCTGTTTTGTGGCTCCTGTTTATTGCTAGGTTCTCCTGACCTCTCTGAGCTTTCCTCTTGTCTCTAAGCTGCAATGCACCATGTGGAAGAGGTCTTCTGAGTGGCCTCCTTGGTCACCGCATGGAAGAGGTGCAGCAGGTTACCTTAAAGATCAGCGCATCTGCTCCGCCCCTCAGCTCAGCAAAAGTAGCCCATGCCCTGGCCCCTGGGTCCGCGTTCCAGACTCTGCTGAGTTCTATGGCTGCAGCACTTGGAACTGCTGACAGTTGGCTTCGTTTGGGATTTGTGCCATGGGTCCTCTGCATGGCACTGTGGGGGGCTGGGGAGACCCCCAATCTGTAGAGTGAGCCTGAGGGCTGGAGGATGAGCAGAGAGCAGGAGAGAGGGGAAGGAGACAGAAACTCAGGGCCACACAGCTGGGAGGGCCTGGGAGCAAGCCATGGGCTTGTGGGCTTAAGAAATGTGCCTGCAGGCGGAGGTGTGCACACTTCTTTGCACATGCTTCTGCATGCAAGGCGGAGGGTGAGGACAAGTGTTGCACAGACTCTGCACAAGAACAGGTGACAGCCAACCTGGCAGCACTGCTAGCGATGCCCCTATGAGTGCTGAGACCAAGAGACAGATTGAAGAGAAAGAAAGACAGAAGGAGGTCGAGGTCCCGCTGGGTAGGTGGCCTGAGGGAAAGGCCTGTGGCCTTCGGCCTAACAGCCATCATTTCCTTTTCTGCCTTTCTCTCCTTTCCTTGCCTGGTCTTTCTCTTCGCCACGGATCACCCCATGCTCAGTGTTTCTTCTGATTCAGATCAGTGAGTAGCGGCAGGGAGGAGTGAGGTTCCCACCGCATGCATGTGTGGCGGCTCCAGGCCTGGTGACCCTGAACATCTTGGGTCTTTTGCTGGGAAAACAACCTGGGGAGCACTGCAGTTTCCACATGGGGGAGTTGAGTCTACTCCTCAGTCTGCAGGCCATACAGGCATCTCAGCCACCCTGGCATTCAGTTTTTGCTTTTTCTTCATAGAATGAGCATCTCATTCTTCATAATCAGAGAGGAGAATTTGCTAGGGATACTTAATATAAATGACTTGTTTTTCAAAGTTAGGTCACGAATGAAATGGTGTATATTACCATTGTCCTTTAGGAGAACCCAGATGTTCAGATTGACAGATATCAAAGCTTCTGCTCGAGAATCGCAGAAGTGCTGGGCTGCATCTTGGTCAGGACTCACTTAAATGGCCCTGGCGCCTGAGGTCACCCAGCTCTGGGGTTGGCTGTAGCCAGGCGGGCTGCATAGCTGGCACAGGGGACAGGCCCTGCCCCATGCCACACTGCTTGTGGGGAGCCTTTCTCCCTACTTTTCTGTGTGCATCCTTTTTAGAACGGGCCCCTCTCCCCTGCCTGGCCTGGACTAGGGCTGTCCAGACTGCACTTTGTTACTCTGCCAAAAGGCAACCTAAAGCATTTGGTGGTTAAATAATGCAGCAGGGGCCTTGGCTGACGCGTTCATCTCCTGCTGCTGCTCCACTTAAAAGTTCGAAGAAGAAAGAAGAAAACAGTGCAGGGAGAGATGTTGACAATTGCAGAGGCGCCAGTGTGCCTGAAATATTTTGAACCCGTGAAAGGGACGAATCAAATAACAAATCAAGTTTTAAATGCCGATTTCTCTAAGTATTGCCTCCGAGATAGCTCAGGTAAACGTTTCTCCCGTGTCCAGGAGCCAGAGTGTCTACCTGACTCAGCTCCCTTCAGCGGGGGCCAAATGGGGCAGAGAGAAGTGAGCTCCAGCTGTGGGTTTTTCTTACATGTTTATCATCTTTAGGACAGCTGCTCCATTAGAGAACTGTGCTCACAACTTTATTTCTAAGTCATAGGAGAAAAATCCTGACATGTCCTAAAGTGAGCTTCAGACTGGACAATGGAAGAGACAGGAGAAATTTAACCCACACCTTCAAGGTAAAATAACAAAGAACAAAGGGAACAGCTTTCATGATTTTTCTTGTCTACTAAAGATTAGCGACCAAGGCTGATGTGTGTCACTGGTGGGGGCAGCACTAGGGATTAAACTCAGAACCAATCTCATTGAGCCGAATCCCTAGAACGTTTTTACTTTTTATTTTGAGACAGTCTCCTTATGTCACTAAGTCACCCAGGCTTCGCTCACATTTGGGATCCTCTTGCCTCAGCCTCCCAGAGGGCTGGGATTACAGGTGTGCACCTCCATCCCCACACAGCACATTCTGTTTGACTTTTTTTAATTAAAAAATTTTTTTTTTACATTCTGCTTTTAGAATTAGCCAACCAAGAAGCAACAGAAGCTTCTCTTGATCCCCTCACGTCCCAAGCCAGACAATGCCTGCCTTTTATCTGCAGCTGGGTAAGCTCAATGAACCACTGCATTTTCGTTATAAAGCACTCTTGCTCCTTAGCTTAGGTGCAGTGGTTTTCCCAGCTTCTATGACTGAGCCACCGGAGGGCAGGAAATGGATGCTGGTCCTCTCACTTTTGACTACCTGGTGTAGATTTCAGGAGTGCTATTTTTGTCTCCTAAAAACAGAATCGACCCATCCCCCAAAACACACAGAGAACAACACTGGTGGGCAGCCTCCCTTCCTGGCCAGGATTCTTCAGTCTCTTCTTCACTGAAGCGAGGATGACAAGCTCCTTCCTTCCCTGTTTCCAATTCTCTGCCTCCCAGAATGCTAGATCAAAAGCTGGGATACTCCTTCTCCCTTGCGGTTGCCCCTGAGACTCTGGGGGTGGGGTGGGGCTGGAGCACTGGGTGGACTGCGAGTAATTCCTGCCCTTGAAATCAGCAGCAGGGTCAAGGCTGCGGGACACTGTGCTAAGTGACATCTGGTAACCACAGAGAGAGGAACACCTCATGTTGTGGGTACTGCAGGGAAGCTCAGGGCACTGACCTGGTGTGTGTGGAGGATAGAATAGTGGTCACGAGTGCCTGGGAAGGGAAGGGAGAGATGCTGAAGAACTGACCACAGGCACGGGGGTCCAGCTGAGGAGTCACTGCTGACATCCTATGGAAAGTGAGGTGGCAGAGATGGGCAGTGATGGTCCTGTGTTCTGTTCTCAGCAGAGAGAGACAGACAGACAGACAGACAGACAGACTGACAGACAGAGTGGAGGGGGTAAATGGGAAGAGGGGGAGGGGAGAAGAGAAAAAGACAGAAGGTGTGAAACATACAAAAGAAAAATTTACATTCTTGCCTCTGCGCCCCCCCCCCCCCCCCCCGGCGGGCTGGGTGGCTGGTGACCTGAGGGACGCAGCCCAGGGACATACACTGTAAGTGAGCTCCTTGAGGTACAGTTCGGAGCTTTTAGAGCTGCCATCTTTCTCTCTTTTTAAAATTTTATTTTAAAGAGGAAAAAACTAAAGTTTCAAAACAATGATTCGAGGGTAGCAGTGCTTAACACATTGCATATTGTTATCTTTAAATTAGTTACTCAGAGTGCAAGATCTCCGCATTTAATTGACCATACAGTATAAGCACAAAACTTTCTTTTCAGTGAACAAAGAGAAGTTATTAGTATAACTATCTTAACTACTATATATATAATTTCTCTCAGCTTCTAGAACTGCCATCTTAACACAGGTTTTTCAACTTAGAGTGCCTGCCACTTGAGAGATAAAAGATTATCCAGAGATAGAAGAAAATATTAGATCATTTTTCATTTAGTTTTAACATTTGATATTTGGAAAATTTACAAGTTGAGAATTTCTTCACAGCATTGTTGAAGCATAAATTACATAGGCTGAAATTCACATTTTTTTGTTTGTCTGGTTTTTTTTGAGATCTTGCAACGCAGTTCAGGCTGGCCTTGAATTCACTATGTAACCCCAGCAGTTCTCCTGCCGCAGGCTCCCCAGTGCTGGGGTTATAAGCATATGGTAAATGTATCCATTTTGTAGAATTCAAACGCTTGGTAAATGTTTAGGCTTATACAGCCAAAGGCACAAACCAATGCATCACCCTCAAAAGATAAGTCAGTCTCTCACTTACCATCAACTGTATCTTTACCTCAAGTCCCAGGCTGTCCTTAAATTGTTTTTTTATTTCTATAGATTTTCTTTTTTTGGAAGTTTCATATACTATAAACAGAGTCACTCAGTGTGTGCTAATTCACATGGGGTTTCTTTCACTTAGCATGGTATCTGTTAGGCTCACCCAAGCTGTAACATGGATTCATGGTTACTGCTTTTTATTACTGGATCATTTCTATCATACTGACAGATCAGATCACATTTACCCATTCATGGACATCTGAGCTGTTCCCAATTGGTGCTATTAAGAATAATGCTGTGTCGGGGTGGATGTGAAGAAAATACATGAGTGTGGAAATACGCTCTTTGTATTATGTACCAATAAAAAAGAGTAATGTTGTTAGACACACTGATACACAAGTTTTTGCATGAATAGGTGCTTTCATTGCTTTCGGTAAATTCTTAGTGAAATTTCTGTGTCCTGGGGTAAGTTTTTAAGAAGCTGCTAATATGTTTCTGAAGTGCTTGTACCACTTTACATTGCTGTCAGCAGGGTGTGGGGATTGCAGTGGAGTTGAGGCTCTTTCAATGTACCTGTCATTGTTGAAAAGTCTTTTCAATCCTATCGCCTACCTTTCAATTAGGTTTCTGCATTGAGTTGTAGCTTATCATAGATACAAGTTCTCAATCACATGGTATGCAAATATTTCCCTTCAGCCTGTGGTATGTTAATTCCATTTTTCCTGACGTTTTTTGAAGTGCACATTTTTGATCTTGATGTCTTCCCACTCATCACTTTTTTCTTTATGGATGTATTTTTGGTACCTTATCTAAGAACTCGGAGTCCTGAAGATTTCCTCCTTTGTTTTCTCCTGGAAATCTCATTGTTTGTTCTTATATTTCCTTGATCTATGTGGTGAAAACAGAGTCCCAAATTTGCCATGTTTTTGCAATTATTCCAGCATCATTAGTGGAAAAGTATTCTTTTAAAAGTAAAAAAAAAAAGTCTTTTAGAAGTAAAAAGAAATGCACCTTATTCATAACCACCGTGTGGACACAGACCCAGTGTCCCTGCTGTGTTGCCCGTCACGTAATCAGGTGGCCCCGGATGGACCCCTATGTGCATTTCTGACTCTCAAGTCACTTGGTGGCAAGACTGTTCATCGTTGGCAGCTGAGGTGGTCAGGAGTGCATTCCAGCAGGATCAGAGAACTGCAAGGTCCCTCTGCTTTGTGCTTATGAACACCGAGAGCACTTTTCAGAAGGATGCACAGGCCACATATATTTGAATCACTTAGAGTGCATGTGGAAATTCAGTACACTTGGCCTGACTGAAGATTTACTCAATTGGGTGGGGAAAGGAAGTGGAGACTGCAGCTCAATAAATGCCCCGGTGGAGTTAGTCGAGACAGTCCTCTTCCATGCTAACGTTTGGCACCTACTGCCAAGGCCAGGAAGGCAGGCAGCCTGGGTCAGTAGCCCAGCTGCTACTGCAGCACTAGGTACATTACACACAGGGCTTAACTGTTTTTGCAATAATTGAGTATTTGAGCATGAAGGGACCTACGTGCTCATTTGCATATAGGAAAAATAAAGCTAAAGACACGCAGTTACACGTAGCTTCTTTTTCTTTATTGTGTCTGTTTAATGAAGTGTCTATATGAACTACCCTAGTGGATCCCTAAGAGCTATAAACCCTTTATTCAATCACAGAATGCAAATCAGAGACAGAAGGGCTGCAGGAGGACGCCAGGGAAGGGTGAAAGAGCCAGGTGCTGTTACCTGTCAAATGCACCATAGGGGGAAGGTCAGCTCGCTGGGGTGGTATGGGCCATTCTGGGGTAAACGCAAGCTGCTGATGTCAACACTTGGGTGTGGGTTTGTTTTACCCAGTGTTGTAACTGAGTTTAAATGGTGAGAGTTGACCTTAAAAGAAATCATAGAGAGTACAACCTTGAGCTTTAAGTCATTCTGGAAACATGCTTTACAATCCAAAGGACTTGTATCAAAGAAAATCATTATACTACAGTGATACATGCATATTACTATTTATAGCAGCACAATTCATGATAGGTAAATCCCAGAAGCAGCCTGCAGATGATTAGAAAAGGAATATGTGATATATATATGTGTGTGTGTGTATAACTGAATACTACTTGACTATAAAGAAAAATGAATTTGAGAAATCCGTAGGGAAATGAATGTATAATGTTGAGTGAAATAAATCAGACACACAAGCCTAAATACTCCATGGTATCTTTCATTTTAGTGAGGCAAAGTATAAACTATGAGAAAAATAAAGGCAGGGCAAAGGAGACAAGAGACGGGCCTCTTGCGGATGGGCAGGGGTCCAGGGGACCAAGGCTGAGAGGCGAGGAGAAGGGATGGGGAAACAGGCAGAGGGGAGGGTGCCAGGGTAAGGGAGGTCCCGACAACCTCCGTGAAGGGGGACATTATGCACTATAAATATGAATAGTAATATCAGCAAGAACGAAAAGGGGGGAAGGGGAAGTAGAGGAGGATGGAGAGAGGGAGAAAAGAAGGGGATTGAAATAAAAAGAAACAAGTTGTAGTATTTGTATGTACTGATTCCCCAAGATGATTGTAAAATACATGTACTGCAAACATGTACTCATAAATAAAAAGAAACAACGGAAACTTAGATAACTTGTCCAACAGCCCAAAAATATTCAAACAAAATGTTTACAAGACTGTAATATTATAGAAAATAATAAAGAAAATACAGAATATAAAGAAAAATAAACCTGCACTTACCTTTGAATATCTTTGTGGCTGGTGTGAGGGAGACAAGAGGGAGGAGGGTTACTGTAACTTTCGCTCAGACCAAAAGAATCACTGCTATCTACTAGCTCAACGGAACCTATCTTTCTGTGCAACTTTAATGAAGAAGCTATCCAACAACACTCATTTTTGAGGATTTTGTGAACATGTGACATTGCATGGTTGTCAAACAGATTCATCACTTGCACTGGTGCAGCTTTATTCAGGTGGTGCTTTTCTGCAAAATTTTGCATTGTTTCTCACCATTTTACACAAAGAACCACTGGCTCAGTTGTGATAAGACACTCTGTTCCTATCGCATGGCACTGCTTGTTTACCAAGTCAAAATTCATTAGAAGTGTGTGCTTGCCTTGCAGAACACTTACAGGATAACTTGCTTGCAGCCCAAGGTTTTACTGTATCAGAAACTTTTTCTAATTCTCAGACATTAATTTCTTGATATTTTAAAGTTTATTCTTAAATGAAAAGTTATTAAGACTCTGAACCCTAAACTTTCTTTACAAGTCAGAAATACTTTCTGAAAATATTTGAGGAGCTGTACCGTTACTGAAGTTAGGCAGGACTTTATGTACTTGGGGAGAATTACATAAATGAAAGGAAGACACTGGTGGGACTGTTTGGCCATTCTGTATGTTCTGGGTGGCCTTGACTGGTTTCCCAATGAGCATCACACACAGGGAAGTGAGAAGGTCCACACAGACCGATGTGCAGCACCAGGTTAGGGAGTTTCCTTTCTCTGTGGCAGGACAGGACAGCATGGCACACTGCGCAGCTCTTGTGTATGATGATGTTAATTTGCCACTATTGAAATGCATTGGCATTTTCTAGAAATAAGAGGTTCCCAAGCCAACATACCAGTTGATGCTAAAGAGCATATGTGATTTTTGAAGCCAAAATTACTGAGAAACATTTTTGAGGCGTATTGCTGCTGCTTCATGTTCAGGTCAGTGTCCATTCCTTTACACAGACCATTTTTACAGTTCTGTGTTTCAGGTAAATTTGGTGACACGGAGGGGGAAGAGGGACTTGTGTTAAACTGCAGTGTCTTGCCCACAAATGGTGCACACCTACCTTTAGCTCCTGGGAGTGGGTGGGGTATTGGTTCCCAATACCATCCATCTCCATTACCCTTCTGCAAAGCGATACCCTAAGTGGGAGCACAATAACTCTCTTTGCTAGCTAACGAAGTCTTTCTAAACTGGTGCCAAGATGGCTTCTGGACTTCCTCTGGGTTCAGGCCCATCTGTCCCCACGCGTGCAGCTCTGCCTCTGTAATGCCTGTCATCATGGGATCACCTCCGGATCAAGCGGTTTCCGGGGAGACTCGCCAGTCAGCATGGCTCTCTGGGCCTCTCCTCAAGAGCAGGAGGAGAGTTGGGTACATGACATTATTGTCCCTTTCCCTGGAATCACAGAGCATAAGAAGAGAGCTGATCATAAAAGATGAGAAAGCCACAAATGTGTCATGACTACAGGGCCAATGAGAAACTTCAGAACCTAGTAAGTTTGAGCCTTTATGCACTTTGTATAGGAGAGTAGATGAACTCAACACTGTACCTGCCTCTTTGGTCTTTGGCCAGTAGATGTGAAAGAAAAGACAGGCGCTTGATTGAATATAAAACGTGTCTCTTACTTTGTGCTAGGAGACTGCTGATACTGCCTCCAGCCTTCTCCATCGGAAGACCTCTCTTGAGCAGGAGGTAAGTACAATTGTTTTGAGTGTGACGCGGGACAGACTGACAGGAGCTCACAGTCTAGCGCCACGTACTACCTACCTCGCTCATGTTCAGGGGTTATGTAACTGCTCTAAACCCTACTTCTCTAAGAGGCAGTCATACCCTTTGCTATCTGTACTGTCATGAAAATTGAAGGATGAAATACAAGCTATTCATTTAACTTGCCTGATCCGGAGGAGGGACTTAGAATGCTATCATATAAACTATTACAGGGCAGCCATGCGCTACAGACTTGTTCCTCTGTCACCAGGGGCTGGCTTGGCTGTCATTCCCCGGCGCCCTGTGGCTGTACTGCTTTTGCTGTGGTCACGCCTTGCTCTTATCACGGCCCCTCTGTTCCCCCTTTGGCTTGGCGGCTGTGCTGTCCCCTTCCTGTTGTTAATATCATGATACCACAGATTGGGTAAAGTACAAAGAAAGAGACTTTTGTGGTTTGCAAACCTGGTCCAAAGCGGCGGAGCTGCATCCTGCGGGCGGGCAGAGGCCAAGGTGGCACGAGAGAATTACACGGTGAGAGACAGGGAACGGGCACTGTTAGCTCTGGTTTTCTCTCTTTTTATAAAGCTATTTGTACTCCACTCTCAAGGCCGCATCTCTAAACATAGCTGGACTAAGTGTGCACCCTCTGTCACTCACCATGGGGGCCGAACTCCCCTGTGGGTTTTGGAGGAGACAATGTCCAGACCACAGCGGCACCCGGCACCTGCTCGAGCCCCCTGCTGACACCCACCCTGCGCATGAGTTCGGCTAGGCAGTGTCTGATGGAAGCACCTTCGGGCTGGTGGGCTCACTATATTCCTACACTTTCATTCAGGAAGGTGCTTTCCTTATTGTATTGTAAAACGATTAAAACTGAAAGATAACAAGAAGTATAAAGAAGCAAATAAAATCACTGTCCAGAGATTAATATTGCTAGAAATTCAATACTCCACTTTTCTCTCCAGACATGGCTATCAGACATACAGTAGATAACCTGATACAGTGTGGTTCTCTCAATGTCCCTGAAGGCTGTGTGTTGAAGGCTTGGTCCCCAAGGTGGCACTATTCAGAGACGGGGCCTTTGGCAGGTGGCTGGATCACTGACTTCACAAATGGGTCAAATCACTCATGGATTGGTAAGTAGAGGGTTCCTGGGATCCAGGGGGAACTTCAGCAAGTAGGGCCTAGTGGTACAAAAAGGTGGGGTGGATGCCCTGAAGGGGATACAGTGCCCCCCTTTTTCTCTCTTTTTACTTTCTGAGCAGCTTTCTTTGCCCATGTGCTTTTATTGCTATTGACTGGCTCACCCAGGGTCAGCCTTCCTGTGTGTGAGGAAATTTCTTGGGAAGAGTGGTTACTGTTGTCCAGGGCCGGGACAAAGAAACAGGAATAGACTCAAGTTCAGACAGAAGAACGTGAAGAAGGTCACAGAAGGACAGACCCCCAAGTTCTGGGAGGCTGGAAGGCTGCCAAAAGAAGCTACCCCGCTGCCTTCCTTGGAAATCTCAGAGGAGGAGCCAGAGCTCTGAGAGCTCGCACCCTCTCTGGGGACACCAGCCTGTGCTGCTTGAAGGAATTGCTTAGGAAGAGGGGTGCACAGAGCAGCCAAGGACAGAGAGAGCTGCTCCAGGGAAAGATGAGGAATTCCACCTCTCAGGAGGAAGAGGGCTGCTCACTGGGGCTCCCCAATTACCCGTGTGGGTGGGGACGGTGGGTCCTACTTGGGACCCTCTCATTCTTGATTTGGGAACTCCTGGGATTATGGCTCTAAGAACCAAAGCAACTATTTTTCTTGAACAGTTTTTACTTTTATATAGGTGGAGATAAATACATTTTTTGGGCTCTCTCTGTGGATTTGAAGTTTGTATTTGTTCCTCCCCTTAGGGGCTTCACCTTTGGTTCCTAGGCTGCTTTTGGCCAGGGCAAAAGGATTCTTATGGTGATCCACACTGCCATTTGGATTCCAATCCTCATAATGAACAGTGGCCACTGCTTGCTTTGGTCTTTTTTTTTTTTTTTTTTTTTTTTTTAAATCGGTACCAGGGATCGAACTCATGACCTTGCACTTGCAAGGCAGGTGCAAATCCCCAGCCCAGATGTGAACATTCACTTTTTTTTTTTTGGTGCTGGAGATTGAACTCACAACCTCAAGCTTGCTGAGCAGGCACTTATGCCACTGAGCTAAATCCCCAGCCCCTGCTTTGGTCTTTTGTGCAAGCCATTTCCCTTGAGGTGCATACGGCTGAGATCTCGATTCTGTGGCCAACACCTGTCTGCCCTTTTTGGTTTCCCCATGGGCAGTCCGATGAGGGGGGTACCACGGAGATAACACAGGAGCCAGTGAAATGGTCCCTCGCTGCTCTCTGCCGTCTATGCCGTGATCATCAAGTGTGCGCCAAGGGAGCACCATTAAACTGCCACAAAGTTGTCCCACTAGTTTAGATCATCGGTAGATAAGTGTGACAACAAGAAACGAGTTTATTTTATGACAGGATTAGGCAAAATCAGGGGAGGACGCTGGGCCTGTTTATGGAGGCTTAGGCAAATGTTTCACATTTCCCATACTCTGTTTCTCTCTTAAAAATAAACCTTTTTTCTTTCTGTTCTTAGCTAGTTATGGTCAAGTTTTTTTAAACTAATTTTAATATTTAGCATTAATACATTAAAAAAATACTTTTAAGTTCCTTTCAAAATTCTGCTAGGTCTTCCAAGGCGTTACAGACAAAATGGACTGAAACATTAGCGACACGTCGATGACAAATCCGGGTCTAGGGTCACCCTCAGCTTTCACAGCACTCTTGGAGAAGCAGAGGCTCACTGGGGAAATGTCTCCCACCTCCAAGCTCGGGGCGCCACGTTAGAAAACTTCCTTTTTCTCAACTTTCTGCTAAAGATTGACTTATTGGAGATTTTTTTTTTTGTAGACGTGCAAGGAATCCTACTTGAAGCCACCGTTTAGAATGGTCTCTAATTAGCCTGCGGCTGTCCACCCAATTTTCTCATCCCTTGTGGATTTTCCTAAGAAAATCCCTGGCAGAGGCAGAGGCCAGCCGGGAGGCGCTGTGAGCTACGTGCCTTAATTTACCCAGCCCCGGTTCTGTCTGTCGCATCCGTTCTCCTCGTCAGCCCCTCACATTTACTTAATGAAAATGAAATTTAATGATCGGAGCAGAGCAGGCAGGAGCAAGCCATTCCGCGCTCTTCTTTAACCCCAGGCCAGAACTCCATCATATATGAAAAAGACGGAGCTTTTCTTCCTCCGTGGCACTGTGCCCAGGAGGGTCAAGCATAGTTTAAACATTAACTGACAAAAGCAAACAGAAACACATCCTGGGACCTTAGTCCACTCACCTCACCTACCAGTGACTCGGTTTCTGCGGAAGGAGGTGTGCATGGGTGTGAACGTGTGTGTTTGCAGGTTTCTCGAGGTTTCTCGCGGCTTTAGCACGGCCTGGTGGGAACCGTAGCAGGCTGCAGGGGGCGCGGGCAGGGGCTGCAGACCCAGGGCTCCCGGGCTCCACGCGCCCCACTCCCGGAGACCCCCGCGAGGCCTCCGGGGTCACACGGATGAGCGGGACCCGGGACGGAAGGGCAGTCGGGAGGCCAGCCGGGTCCGCAGGCCTCCGCGGGCGCCCCGTGACCGTGGCAGGCAGGTGCACAGGCAGCAGGCAGGCGCAGACCGGCCCCGGCGGCGCGCGCACCCCAGGAGCCCGGATCCCGAGCCCGGCCGCGCAGCCCGCGCCGCCCTCCCGCCTCCCGCGCTCCTCCTCCGGGCCGCCGAGCCCGGCCCAGCCCCCGCGGGCGCTGCAGCACGGACGGACGGACGGACGCACGGACGGCGGGGCTGCGGCGCTCGCTCGGCTCCCGCGGCCGCAGCCCATGGCCCTGGCGCCGCCGCCCGTGCGCGCAGCCACGCGGGCGCGATGCTGAACGGCGCCGGCCTGGACAAGGCGCTGAAGATGTCCCTGCCGCGGAGGGCGCGGATCGGCTCGTCTGTGGGTGAGCGCGGAGGGCGCGGGTGGGCGGGCTGGGGGCGGGGCGGACGCGGCGGTGACCCCGCCCCGGCCCGCGCTCCCCGGGAGGTCAGCTCGGCGGGGTCCCCGCACGTGCCGGGCTTAGGGACCCCAGGCCGAGTGAGGGGTGGCGGCTGGGCGGAAGGTGTGTGTGTGTGTGTGTGTGTGTGTGCGCGCTCGCGCGCGCGTCCCCGGGCGCCCCTGCCGGAGGCTCCCCGAGCGGCGGCTCCCCGGTCGAGACCCCAGCGGCGGGGCCCACTGTGGCTGGGCGCAGGTCACCCCGCCTCTCCGCTGGCGCTGGCGGGGCCGCGAGTGGCCGCTTCTGCAGCCTCTGGGGCCTCAGGGAGTGTTTTTCACCCCCTGGGGCCCGCATCCTTGGTGCATGGCAGAGAGCTCGTCAGCTGCAGAGGTCACACACACACACACACACACACACACTCTGGGCAAGAAGGTTTTGCTGTATTATATAACACACTTAGAAACCGTGGTCTTGTGATGAAGCCTGGTAGGTTACCTGCGCTAGTAGGCAATGCCTCTTTGGGAGAGGACCTTGCCAAGGTCTTGGTGTTACCGCACTGCAGGACTTCTGCAAGCGTGGGGTGCAGATTTGCCTTGAAGAGGGTTGAGGGTTTGGGGTTTGGGGTTGGGATTTGAAGCTGGGGTCACTTGTCTTCGTGTTCGTGTTTGTTTGGGGGTAATGAGCATATTGAAAATAATGGAATTTTGTATTTTAGTAGTTGAGGGAACCGAGCTTACCAGGTAATTTTGACCGGTGTTGGTTAAATATGAGTCGTCCACACAGGGGACCTGCACCTTCACGTTGAGACTCCCTTCCGGAAAGGCTCACCAGATTCAGGGTCAACACTAGAATTTAGGGGGCTACAGGAGCCTCTGAGAGGGGCAGCAGAAGTTGGAGGGGGCAAGTGCACAGAACAGAGAGGAAGGGCCACACCCTCTGCTTTCCAAATAGAGCCAAGGCATTGCTCGGTGTAGAATGTGGGGCTTGTAACCAAGGCCCTCAAGGGTGGTGCGAAGGTCACTGGTTTGAGGAACTGAAAGACTGCATCACTTATGGGACCAGGAGACGGAGGACCAGTGCTTTCAGAGAGCCGCGCAGGGAGTTTGGTTTCGAGCAGATTGCAGCTGAGGTGCCCTCTGGAGAACCCGGGGGAGATGTCGGTGCAGAGCTGGGTTTACGAACGTGGGGTTCAGTGGAGTGTTCAAGGCCAGAGGTCCAGACCCAAGAGCTGAGGCAGGATAGCGCCTGGGAGTGTCTGCCCGGTGCATGCCAGGGTCTCATGATTTTCGGGAGAGCAGGTTTCACTACTCTGCAGTTGCTGTCTTCAGGCTTCTGAGCAAGATGCCCACAACTTAAAATTTTGCGTTCAGGCCTGAACTAGCCCCTGCTGTTGGGTCCAGAGATGTAACCGAGAAAGGAGGGAGCTGAGGGAGTTCTGAACAGTCTAGTATGTCAAAGTTGTGGGGAGCCTAGAGGCAACACAAAGGGCTGAAAGATGGCCATTGCAGACACTGATAGTGTCGGGGAAGGGTATGTGGAATTCTGGCCAGTGAGACAGGAATGCTGCCCAGAGCCCAGCAAGAGGAGACCCGGGCACTGGTCCTTGCTTCAGCGGTAAGGAGGCCGTGTGACCTTGACACAGCTGCTCTTGTGCAATTGTGGGGACTCATGTCTGACAGCACAGATGCTAGACAGAAAAGGAGGACAGGGATTTTGCAAGGGCAAGTCCAGAAACCTCCTTCGGGTCAGTTTTGCAGTAAAGGGGAGAAGAACCAGATCAAGTCGTAGCTGGAAGAGGCTTCGAGTTCAGGACAGCACGTTTTGTTTTAAGTGGAATCATGTGATGGCCCGGAAGCCGCGACAGAGAGTTGCCAAGTAGCAGAAGTCTGGGAACAGCAGTGAGGAGCACGGTCTCCAAAGCAGAACTGTAAAGGCCAGAGGTGCAGGGTTCCAAGAGCTGGGCTGGGGTTTCACTGCGGACAAGTGAAATTTCCAGAAGATGGGGTGAGAGGTTTCCTGAGACACAGGACTGTTTGGAACAGGTAAGCACTGTATGGATAGAAGGAAGGCCTAGAAATGGGGGTTCTCAAGGTGACTCGGGGCAAATAACAGCAGGAAGCCTAGGTGGACACTTGACAATCTTGTGTTCCCATAAAAATGTTGATCATTGTTTTCAGTGAAGTTTGATGCTTGTCATTTTGTGTGAGCTAGCAGTGCAAGGATTACAGATCGCAATCTGTTTTAAGATTAGGTACTGATCACCATACTATTTAGTAAGGCCAATCTTGATTGTTAATTCTCATTACTTTTGACTCCTATCTAATCCTACCCAGCCCCTTTTAGGTGACTGCCTCACCTAAAAATTTTTTTTTCTTTTTAATTTTGAGTCAGAGTTTTGCTACGTAGCCCAGGCTGGGCTTGAACTTGAGATTCTCCTGCTCTCCATCCCAGACTATGAGTTTATGGGGAAGTGCTAACATGTCTAACTAATCCTATCTTAAACTCCTATTCTTGTTTTTGGTTTTTTTGAGACAGAGTCTCGATATGCAGGTCAGGGTGGCCGTGGACCACTTTGTAGCCTAGGCTGGTCTCAAACTTGCAGTGATTCTCCTGCCTCAGGTTCCTGAGTGCTGGGATTACACACCACCAGGCCTGGCTCTCCTATTTGGTCTTAATTCTATTACACTTTTGTCAATTCTGCCTTTCCCGAAGGATTTTGTGCCGCTGTGCCTCTGACAGTTTACCACAGGATGGGAGTTCACAGGCTGGTAAGATCGGTCCTCCTCCTCGTGAGCGGCTTCCAGTCTGCCCCATCTAGTGAGGGAAGCACATGGATGTAGAGCCATTGATCTCGGAGGTGCAGACTGACCACCACCTCTGTGCCAGGCACTGCTCAGCTTGCTGGAGGCGGAGGGTGTGGCCCCTGGGCTGGCCATGAGACCTGTGAAGAGAGTGCTCACTTCTCATCCAGCCTTGTGTTTACCAGGACAGGACAGGTAGAGCAAGGAGGGATGTTAAGCAGGTGCACGTGTCCACCAAGGTGCGGAGAGTGGGCAGGAGGGACAGAAAGGAACTCCCAGCTGTTTTCCAGGGGCTGTTGCTTCAGCTCTGTCTCGGGCAGGTGATTTGTTACTAAATAAAAGGTCAGCATTGAAGAGCAGAAAGGAAGTGCTCAGATCAAAGGTAGCAGGACCCAGATGGCTTCACATGTTCCAGAAACGGTCCTTCTGCAGTAGATCACACACTGGTCTGTCCATCTCCCCTGGACGCTTGGTCATTAATGATGTTTTTGTTCTTTGAAGTGGGCCCCTGTGCAGACCTAGCTTTTCCAGCACCCTGCCAGAAGTTTTCAGGAGGAGGAGAAGAACAGTTGTAAACTCAGCTTGGGGCGCTCTCCTTTAGAGGCAGGGGGTGAGGGATGCAGCACAGGTAGTTTCCTGCCTTCCTTTCACTGGTGAAAACCTATCCAGAGAAATTCTTTGCTTTATGTTAATTTCCAGCTAATTCCCAGGTCCAATGCCCTTTCACCATCTCCAGCCAACCTGGTTCAACATCAGATCTCAGCTGAACCAAACAAGTCTGTTTCTGCTACATTGTTACCTCTTCTTGACAGGAGATAGAGACCCTGTCCAAATTCTGCTTTTCTTTCTTGTATGATCCGGTGGGTATTCAGTAAATGAAGAGTTGACTGAAATCTAACCTTGATAATTTTTGGACTCAGGCTAAAGATCTAGGTTATGTTTGGAAGTTGCAAAGAGGAAGTGTGTGTGTGGATAAAATGACAGAAAGAATTGGATCAAATTTTGGCACCGTCATTTACTACCTGTATGACCTAGAAAGGTTCTTGGCAGCAGTGGTGTTACATGCCTATAATCCAAGCTCTGAGGGAGGCTGAGGCAGGAGGTCACAAATTCAAATCCTACATGGGCAATTTAGGGAGCACTTGTCTCAAAGAAAAAATAAAGGAATAGGGATATATTTCAGTGGTAGAGCATTCCTGGGTTTGATCCTAAGTACACTCCCCAAAAAAGTTTCACTTGTGTCTTTCACAATGAAGATGAAAATAAAGGGTTTGCACTTGGGTGGTTGTGTATTCATAGTGTACCCCAAAGTGCAGGCTGTAATGATCTGATCCAGGCCCAAGCTTCTCTGGCTGCCCGACATTGTTCAAGGTAAAAGCTTGCACCCATCTAGATATTTATCCTGCATAATAGCAGAAAAGGCAGAAACAATCTGTCATTGTCTTCTGCAAGTGTCGTGCTGGGGACCAACTAGGAGATGACTGAACCGAGGCATGGTGGGAAACATTCAGTGTTCTTACGTACCTGTACCCAGGAGTGTGTGACTGTAGACATAAACACTCACTGGCCTGTCTGATGCCGCATGCTCATCCCCTGTTGTCTCTGAAAGGCATGGCCTTTTGTTAACGGTAGTGTTGTTCTGGGCCAGAGGTGGCCAATATGCACCGCAGTTGATGCCTTCGGTTGTTGAATAACTGATTGTACTTTTACAACAGAAGCTTTACCTTACAGAGGCACCAGCTGGACAAACGGATTAAATTAAAATTATTCTCTTAAAAGTTATCAAACATTTATTTGAAGCTGTGTACACAGATCCTCTAGAGATGGTCTCTGTCCTTACTTTGTGGCTCTTTGCATTTACTAAATATAACCTCTGGTCAATACCTCACTGACAAGGGACATTGTTTACATCCTTTTAGGCCGGTAAAAGTGCTCGGAGCAAATGTTAACAACCATTAAGGAAAAAGGCCAAAAATAAAAAGGACCTCAGGTCCATGTCCTGGAGTTTTTCTACTTATCATTGTCAAGGGCAGACACAAAACAGGACCCATTCAAGGCCAGGAGAGAGCCCTTCTGGGGACAGGGCAGGAAGTGAGGAGCAGGGGCTGTCCGTGTCCACCCAGCCCCAGGCTCCTAGATCTGCTTGCTCGGAGGTGACCTAAGGTG